AGGCCATTGGATTTTGTAATTGAGAAATTATTGGTAACCTCAAAAAGCAGTTATAGTCAAGTAAAGACAGATTATAAGATATTGAAAGTGAGTGGAAGATGAGGAAGTGAGGGTGAGGGATATAGATGGCTTTTTTTCCTATGAGTTTGACTCTTTTCTTTCCAAGGGCAAGGTCCTAGAGGAAAAGGAGAAGATCAAGAAGGTAGAGGGGTTAGCCCTGAGCGAGAAGAAGGGCCATTTCTTCAAGTCTGGAGCAAAAGAGAAGAGAATATGGGTAGAAAGGTGGGAATGATGTTGAAGGGATTAGAAGTATAAACTTGGGGAGAAGAGAAGACCATACTAGATGGCCTCTATGTTCTCTGTAAAGTATAAGACAAGATCTTTTGCAAAGAAGTATGGTGGTATAAGTGACTTTAAGAGAGAAAGTCTGAAATTACTGCTATTGGGAAGTAAGATGTAAAGTTGATTAGAGCACAGTAAAAGTATTACCATTCATCAGTGAGGATCTGGTGGAGAATAGATTTAATAAATTTATAGTGGACCCAGTTACTATTGTTATGTAACTTCTCTTGCAGCATTTAGCAGCATGTGAGTAGGAGTGGGAAAGTTGGATGATGGAGGTAACCAAGGGTTGGAGTTTGGAAAGGCAAGGATGGTGGTAGGACACAGGGGTCAGGGATTCAAAGGCAGAGAACTGTACAAAATTGAACTGGTTAACTATAGAGTCAAGATCAGGAAGAAAGGATAGTGAGGTCAAAAGTTGGGTTGATGGACTGGGAAAACAGGAAAGGGTAGAGTGAATAGAGGTCACAATAGGGAAGAAGGATAGGTTTAAGGGGACTGGAGTAGTGAAATAAAGGAAGATAAAATCTAAGGGAGTAATATCAGTCTTCTGGATCATGCAGGCCAGACATTTATGGGTGTTTATGAGATGAATTGTATGAACATCTCAGTGTGTGGTTGAGGTGGAAGGAAGATACAGGTCATGTGTCATGATTGAAATAAAGGTAGACTGAGGCAGCAAAGATCTGAGTATGATCCATTTTTTAGCTAGGCTAGCAGTCACTAATAAATGGGGCCAATGACTCCTCAATAGACACCATGTGAGGGAGGACAGGGTCTTTTATCGTGATTAACAGGATGACAGAGCAAAATCTCATAGGTGTGTCTTCTGATTGGCCAGAGAATGGAAAAAAAATCCCTCTGATTTCAGCTTGATATTATGATTATTTGGAGCTCCCCTTCTGAAACCACCTCGTTGTTTATATGATATTGTTTGTTGTTGTTGTTTTCCTTCATTTTCTTTTTTTTAAATTTTTGCTGGGCAATGGGGTTAAGTGGCTTGCCCACGGTCACACAACTAGTAAGTGTCAAGTGTCTGAGGCCAGATTTGAACTCAGGTCTTCCTGACTCCAGGGCTGGTGCTCTGTCCACTGTACCACCTAGCTGCTCTTTGTCCTTCATTTTCAAAGAGGACCAATGATATCACAGGTGATGTCTTGACTTGTGAGCAAATTGGATTTAAGTGAGGGAGAGCTGCACGAGGTCATCGGCTTCGCTCTTTCTTCCTGAGTCATCGATAGGGCCCTATCCCCTGTGCCGTGCTGCCTCTTACACAATGAGTAGGCTAGTGGCACAGCCTGAACTAGACCCAGTGGCTTGTGATGTTCAGCTGAGGAAGTGCTAACACGTCCTGTTTCCTGATGGCATGCTTCTATGAGTGATGATTAAAAGAAGGATGACTCTTGATGATGGATGCTTGGGTTTTTGAACTTGATTGAGAGTCCTTCGTAAAAGATCCTGGTTTCAAGTGTGAAATCAGAGATTCCCAAGAACTGGAATCCAGAATTCATTTATTCATTCTTTCACTCCACATAACCAATCAACTGCTGAATGCTCTTTCTAACTCCACATCCTGTTGCATCGGACCTCTTCTCTCTGTTACACTTGCTACCTTGGCCCCACTGCCTGAAGGCCACGTGTGTTATTACATTCCATCCCTCCCCAAGGGTTCTCCAGTACCTTACAGGGATTGGAGGTTGTCTAGGTTTCAACAAAGGCTCCAGCCTTCACTGATGGTATTCCCTCAAGTGTAGGGATTGGTCCCCGCTCCCCAGTTCCATTTAATCGCTGACAGCTGGATTGGTTTTTGCAAAGAAATATTTGTTTCAAAAGGTATAACCACAAATATACATATTTGCTAGCCAACATGTGGGGCTTAATTCCCTTTCCTCCCCATGCCACCTCAGTCTCTGGGAAGAGGGAGAGGGTTAGTTTCATAGTTTAGATCAATTCCTAGAGAGCACAGCCCTAAGTTCCAAGTCCAAAACAATCCTTGGGCTTGTGTTCCAAGCATTCTGGCTTCTCCTGGCTACCTGGCTAGCTGGCTACAACATCCTGCCTGCAGTACTTGTTCCAAGATTGCCATGGCTCAAACTCCCTGGTCCAGTGGGGTTTACCTCTGGCACTTGAAACAGAAAGATAGATGAAACAAAACAGGAATAATTATTTCCCTAGGCCTATTTCTTACAGTCAGGGTAAAAGAGAAGTTCAGGACTCTGGGCATATGTGTGAATTGTCTACAGTCTAGCTAGTTTTAAAGGTGAAGCCTGTTCTGGCTAAGCAGTCAATCAGAGGAGACTACTTGTGGTAGATGAACTCAGGGAAGCAGGGGACGTCCATGTTAGGTGATCTGGGAATGCACAGGCAAGCTTTCTTATGCCCCTGTTCACACAACTTTTGTTGTTATTCACTTGTTACAGTTGTGTCTGACTCTTGATGACCCTTTTTGGGGTATTCTTGAGAAAGATACTGGAGTGGTTTGCCATTTCCTTCTCCAGCTAATTTTACAGATGAGGTATCTGAGACCAACAGGATTAAGTGACTTGCCCAGGGCCACACAGCCAGTAAATGTCTGAGGCCAGATTTGAACTTAGGAAGAAGAGTCCCAGCCTGGCACTCTATTCACTTTGCCACCTAGCTGCCCTATTCACACAACTACTTCCTTAATTTAAAGCTCTCCTCATTGCTTGCCTATTACTGGAACAACTCCTAACTGGTATCCATTCCTCAAATACCTTCTTTCAGTGGGTGGAGCACTGAGCTGGAGTCAGAAAGATCTGAGTTCAAATCTGGCCTCAGGCACTGACTAGTTGTGTGACTCTGGGCAAGTCACTTACCCCTGTTTGCCTCAGTTTCCTCCTTTGTAAAATGAACTGGAGTAAGAAATGACAAGCCACACATCTTTGCCAAGAAAACCCTAAACATGACTGAAAAGGACTCAACAACAACAAGTATGGTAGAGGAATGACCATGTGGCTTACTACTTAGCTGATTACCAGCTGTTTGGACCATGAGCCAGTCATTGCATTTCTGGGCCTCAGTTCCTCATCTGTAAAATGAGCTGGAGAAGGAAATGGCAAGCCACTCCAGTATCTTTGCCAAGAAAACCCCAGATGGAGTCACGAAGCGTCGGACAGGACTGAAAAGGACTCAACAACAACAATACTTAATTGCCAAGATGATTTTCCTTAAGTGCCTATCTGACAATGTCACTCCTCTACTCAATAAATTCTAGTGGCTTCCTGTTGCCTCTAAAGTCAATATCTTCTGTTTAGCTTTTAAAGCTCTCACAACTACACCTCTGCAGATATTTCTGGCCTTATTGATCATAATTACATCAGTCTCTGGAACTTACTCCCCGCCCCCATCCCACTCTGTAATTCAGCCAAACTAGCTTTGTCCCTATTAGTCACCCATAATTCCCCTTCTCAGCTCTCTGGGCATTTACATCATCACTGGCTTTTCTCTGGGTCCACCTCCGTGTCAGGGAATCCCTTTCTTCCTCCAAGATGCAGTTTAAGCAACGCCTACTGGATGGAGTTTTTCTGGATTTCTTCCCCTACTGGTACCCTCTCTCCCAAGCTACCTTGTGTTGCTTTGTATCATCCTCTTTATATTTATTCTATTTATACTTAGTTTCTTAATGTATGAAATAGCAATAACAATAGCACCTACCTCATAGAGTTATCCTGAGGATCAAATGAGATGATAAATATGGGGTGTCCCAAAAGTTTTAGTGCTGTAGGTTTAAGCTTAAAATGGCACTAAGACTTTTGGGACACCCTTTATTTGTAAGGTGCTTTACCAACATTAAAGCACTATATAAATGCTAGCTATATACTTATATGGATGGCTAGGTGGCGCAGTGGATAGAGCACTAGGCTTGGAACCAGGAAGACTAATCTTTATGAGTTCAAATCTGACCTCAGACACTTATTAGTTGGGTGATGTTAAGCAAGTCATTAACCTTGTTTCCTCATCTGTAAAATGAGCTGCAGAAGGAAATGGCAAAGCTCTCCAGTATCTTTGCCTGGAAAACCCCAAATAAGGTCACAAAGAGTCGCATAGAACTAAAATGACTGAACAACGATATACTTATATATGTTCATGTCATCCCTCCTCTTAGAATGTATGCTCCTCATAAATAGGGATTGTTTCATTTATTGTATTTGTATTCCCCAGTGCCTAGTATCATGCTAGTTGTTATTTTGTTCTCAAAGAGGACCAATGACATCATGAGGGTGATGCCTTGACTTGAAAGTGAATTGGATTTAAGTGAGGCAAAGCGTGACAAAGTTGTCAGCTTTACTCTCTCCTCTAGAGTCACTGGGGTCCAGTGACAGGACAAAAGTCGAGACAACTGGTGATGGCCTAGGATGCAGTGGGTAACCTTGGCCTTTCTAAATTAGATCTTTCTGAAGCTTTATTTAAGTCCCACATGAGTAACTTAGTAAATGCATGTTCCTGTTTGATTCATTCAATAAGCATTTATTAATCCCCTGCTTTATGTTAGGCACTTTATGTTAGATGCTCCAGATACAAAGAAAGAAATGAAACAGTCCCTGCCCTCAAGAAACTTACATTCTATTGAATACAGAGTGATAGCACTTTGTTTTGAAAATAGATAATGCATTAATTCTTGCTTTATTATCTTTCAGTATTTCATCAGTGCCTCTGAGTCATGATGGAGCAGATGTTGTTCTGGGCACTGTTCCTTTTACTTGGTAATTTCTGCCTAGCAGGTATGTTGCTATTTGTTCTTTTGTGGATCATTTGGTTTTCATCATTCCCTTCTGAAATGGAGTATTAATTCTTTTTCAACCAAAAACAAGGTTTATTAGAACATCCGTCATATTGGGCAGACTCTTAAGGAGCCTGAACATCAGTGAGCTATTGGCTAGATTTTAAGAATCTGAGCAGTAGCTACATTATAAGAATCTGAGCACCTTAATGGAGACAAGATGGACCTTTTTTATACAGAAAGACTATGGGAGGGATCTAGGAGTGGCCAAGTAGTCTTGGGGGAACTGTGAGGTACTAGAATGCCAGGGACCTGGACCACGTGGCCAAGTAAGAATGGAGCCTAGCTAGGATTAAGGGTGGGAAGTGACCTGGACCATAGGGAGGTAAGACAATGGAGGGCGAGGCTAGGTTAAGGGTAACAGGGAATTGGGAGATTGGGTGTCCCCCTATAACAAAAGGCCACTTGATGGGATTACAGCCTCAGGCGAATGCCAGAGATTTGGCCATGTGAGAAAGTCCGAGGTTTTTCCTTTCTGGGGTCTAGATCCCAACCTCATCATTCCCCCCTCAAACAAATGGGACCCAAATATTTTTGGGGTAGGGGCAAAGGTCTTGGCTTCTGAAACTGCTTCCTGCTGGCAAGGGGTGTAGAGCTGTCCCTGCCTCGAGGGTGTCCCAAAGAGGAGATTGACTAGAATGGAACAGAGGCTGCATCCAGGAAATGATGGGGATGGAGGGTTAATTTTATGATCACTCCATTTGTCCATTCAATGGCTTCCACTTGGGACAGTGGATGGGTTGGGGAAAGATGGTCTTTGGCAATAAGCAGAGAGGGAAAAGGGCAAAATTCTTATTTTTTTTTTCTGCCTTAAAAATGTTTTTCATAGTTATTTACACAAATTGAATAAGAAGCAAGTGTCTAGGGACTCTCTCTTTCCATATATATATATATATTTATATATACATATACACATACATACATACACACACACACATATTTCTAATTTTCTGCTCTATGGGTAGCTAAAGGGAATACCTTGAGGCAGCTGGTGGTTTAGTGGATAGAGCACTGGGCCTGGAGTGAGGAAGAACTGAGTTCAAATCTGGCCTCAGACGCTTATTAGCTGTGTGACTCTGGGCAAGTCACTTAACCCTGTTTGCCTCAGTTTCCTCATCTGTAAAATGAGCTGGAGAAGGAAATGGCAAACTATTTTAGTATCTTTGCCAAGAAAACCCATGGACAGCTGTGGTCCGTGGGATCATGAAGAGTCAGACATGACTGAACAGCAACAACAAAGTGAATATCTACCTGGGGAATATAGAAATGGGGGGTGGGCTTAGGTAGTGTCTGGGAAATAGAAAATATCAATATATTGCTCTAGCCTTTCACAAATGAGGAAAGAATGAGTGATGTTGAGTTTTGAGGAGTTAAGGAGTGGAACTGAGGGAATTCCTTTTGGATGACCTTAATTTTGTCAGTAATATAAGAACCTCAGTCGTCTGTTATAAATGTTGGAGTGTTCTTAGGGTTTTTGGAAAAGAGAAAAAGATCTAGAACAATTGCTGTGTGGAATAGAATATGAAATAAGAATTATATAAAAGAATTTTGTTTTGTTTTATACACCATAATCATAATTGCCTGATTGGTCTCACCCACTATAGTGCTTTGAAGAAACCAAAATGCTTAGAGTCTACCATCCAAATGAATCTAAGGAAGCACAAAAGCTGAGCTCAGAGGTCCAGGTCATTGTCTTTTTCCTGCTTTTAATAAAAACATACAGCCAACTCCTAGGAGCTGTGGTGTTTTGCTTTATCTGGAAGTCTCCAGGACTCCCAGGAAGCTTGGACTCTGAGCCTTCTTGTAAACCTAGTGTCAAAGACAGTGTCATCACAAGAAGAACTTGAGTATGCTGTGGGAGGGTTTCTCTCTCTCTTGGCTCCCACCTCCTGCTGGAAAACTTGGGAACATGGATATATGATACCCATCAGTTTCCTGGGGTAGACTCCCCACTTGTAAGCAAGCAGTTCACAATTTTACAGAAGAAAGTTTTAGTAAAAGAAGGAGGAAAACAAATCAGAAATTCTTACTTATGTATGTAAGTCCCCTGAGTCAGAGTCCCAAATATGAATGCTCCATTGGTGAATATTCCCTAGTCCAAATCCTGTCTTGGGCTCAATGGTCCCTATTCTCAAAATGAATGAATGAATGAATTATGTTGACTGTTTGTCTGTCTCCCATGCCTAACTCTCTCTACTTCCCAGTTTCTATCTCTTTCTTTAGTTATCTCTCTTTCTTTCCATTTCTCCCTCCTTCTCTCTCTAGTTTGCTGTCCCTCCTCAGAGCTTCATAACATGGCTTTCCTGCCCAATGGATTCTCAAACCCCTCATGTGAGGGGGCAGTGATCCTTTAGAATTCTCTAATTCTTGGGTACTGTTTCCCCATTGCAAAGTGAGAGCAAAACTGTCAGAGTCCTCTTCATCCCAGTTGCCATCAGCCTTGTAGTCTGGCTCTCTCTTCCTTTTCTTTATTTTTTTGAGTCTCCACCCATTACCATATGCATTATTTACTTCAGGAAAAAAATACACAAGCTACATGTTTTCAGCAAAAGGTACAGTGGTGACAGTATTTATCTTTTCTTATTACTCTTGTTTTCATGTGATTTGTAGATCTGCCAAAGAAGCCAGAAAACATTTCCTGCATTTTCTATTATGAGAAGAATTTCACTTGTACTTGGAGTCCGGAAAAGGAAGTCTATCCTACAGTCTACACTGTCAAAAGAACTTTGTAAGTATGAGGTGGGCTTGCAAGATGGGAGAAGGGGCCAAAAGTTTTTAATTCATTCTGGGTATAAGTCGGTTGAGATGTACGATATTTTCTCTCTTATCGTACTTTGGTACTCTGGACACCACATGATAAGAATAAGTGACGTATGTAGTGATATATTACCTCATCAGAGCCTTACCACGAACCCCATGAGGTAGCCACTACAGCTTTCAAGGGTGTGTTGGAGTCAGCTTGAACCAGTTCTTAAGAGCTGATTGTTAAATTTTCAGTGTGAGCATTTACACCTCAGAAATCATGAAATGCTCCAAATCAGGTCTTGAATTCTTGTTTTGTTGATTGTCTAGACTTAAGAAAATGATGGAGAAAATGTTAATAATGCAGATTAAACTTAAAAATGTATTTTGTATACATTTTTTCAGACAGTTAGTTGTTAAATATTTAGCAACACACCACTGACAGGTTAATTATCTCTGTTTTATGGATGCAGAAACTTAGACTCAGAGAAATTAAGTGACTTGCCCAAGGTTGCACAACAAGGAGGGGCTTAGAACACAACACTTCTTAACTCCAAATATTGGCGCCTCATTCACTATGTCATGCTGCCTCTTGTCCAGTGGTCAGGAGCTAGGATATCAGGAATTTGGTGCCCTCCCTGCCAGGATGAACACCCAAAGAGAGTAGGGAGAGAGGGACAAGAGTAACTTCCCTTAGGGAAGTCAGACTGGCTAAGATAGCAACCCATGCTAAATATGATGAGAAGGCTGGAGCATGACCAAGTATTTCATGGAATGGAATATGATAAGCGTGGAAAGATCCCTGAACTTGGAAATCAGGAGGCCTGGGCTCTAGGACCAGTTTTGCTACCAATCAACTCTAGACTTTGGAGTCCTCATGTGTGAAAGAGGTAGGAGGGTTGGACTGGGTCTTTCACATTCTATGGTTTAATTTTGGACGCGAAGTACTATGGATACTAAGAAACGCAAAAACATCCCCTGCCCTCCAGGACCTCACACTCGAATGGGAGAGACAATATGTTAATAACTTTGGGCATAAAAGATACATACAGAGTAAACAGAAAATTATCTCAAGGGGAAGGTGCTAGCAGTAGGAGTGACCAGGAAAGGACTCCTGCCACATGTGGAATTTGAGCTAAGTCTTGAAGGATGCCAGTAAAGCCAGATAAGGTGCTGCCTCTGCCTTTGTAAAGTTCCCAGTCTATTGAAGATGACATCTATTATCTCTTTGTCTACCTATCATCCATCTATCTATCTATCTATCTATCTATCTATCTATCTATCTATCTATCTATCTATCTATCTATCTATTTGTCTGTCTATCTATCATCTTTCTATTTGTCTGTCCATCTATCTATCTATTTAGCACCTGTGTTTCCTCAATACTTAAACTATCTTTCTGGCTCCTTACAGTAGCTTTGACCTGAAAGTTCTGGATTTTGTCTGGGACATTCCTTGGAGTTTTCATTTTGGGGTTTCATTCAAAGGTGACTGATGGATTCTTCCTAGTTTCACTTTACCATCTGGTTTTAAGAGGTCTGGATAGTTTTCTTTCTTTCATTATTCCTTGAAATATTCAATCCATGTTCTTTTTTGGTCATGGCTTTTAAATAGTCCAGTGATTCTTAAGTTGTCTCTACTTGATCTGTTTTCCAGGTGAATTATTTTTGATATGAGATACCTTAATTTTTTTTTCTATTTTTTCAATCTTTTGACTTTGTTTTAATATTTCCTGCTATCTCATGGAATCACTTACTTCCATTTGGTCTATTCTAATTTTCTAGGAGTCATTTACTTGGGTAAGATTTCACAGTCTTTGTTATAAGCTGTTAAATCTCTTTGCAAATCTCTCTTCCATAGCTCATTTCTTTTCTACTTTCTTCCTTTTTCACTCTAATTTCACTTATTTAAAAAAAGTATTTGTTTATTTTTAGTTTTCAACATTCACTTCCATAAGATTTTGAATTTTAAATTTCTCCTTCCCTCCCCTCCCTCCTCCCCAAGATAGCATGCACTCTGATATAGGCTATATGTTACAATCATATTAAACATATTTCTACATTAGTCATGTTGTAAAGAAGAATTAGAACCAAGGGGAAAAACTGTGAGAAAGAAAAAAATGAAAAAAAAAGAGAGAGAAAATAGTATGTTTTGATTTGCATTCAGACTCCATAGTTCTTCCTCTGGATGTGTATAGCATTTTCTATCATGAGTCTTTTGGAATTGTCTTAGATCATTACATTGCTGAGAAAAGCTAAGTCTATCAGAGTTGGTCATCATACAATGTTGCTATTACTGTGTACAGTGTTCTCCTGGTTCTGTTCACTTTACTCAGCATCAGTTCATGCAAGTCCTTTCAGATTTTTATGAAATCTGCCTGCTCATCATTTCTTATAGCACAATAATATTTCATTACATTCATATACCACAACTTGTTCAGCCATTCCCCAATTGATGGGCATCCCCTCAATTTCCAATTCTTGGCCACCACAAAAAGAGCTGCTATAAATATGTTTGTGCATGTGGGTCCTTTTCCCATTTGTATGATCTCTTTGGAATATAGCCCTAGAAGTGCTATTGTTGGGTCAAAGGGTATGAACAGTTTTGTAGCCCCTGTAGTGTCTCACTCTTCCCAGCTTGTTGTTATTATTTCGTTGTTGAGTTGTTTTAGTCATGTCTGACTCTATGTGACCCCATTTGTTTTGTTTTGTTTTGTTTTTTGGCAAAGATATTGGAGTGGTTTGCTATTTCCTTTTCCAGTTCATTTTACAGATGAGAAAACGGAGGCAAACAGGGTTAAATGACTTGCCCAGGGTCACACAGCTAGTGTCTGAGGTCAGATTTGAACTTGAGTTCTCCTGGCTCCAGGGCTGGTACTCTATCCACTGCCCCACCTTCCTGGCTTAGAACTGTTTAAAAAAATAACACAGAATCATCCCTTAAATTAGTAGGAGTTTTGGCAATGATTTTGTTAGAAATCAAAACAAAATATTATTTCTGTTTTTAATTAAACATAATTTTTAAATCTGCTAAAAATTTTTTTATTAAATTTGTAAATAATTGATGCTTGCAAAAAATAAAAGTGGGCACATGATCATGTTTTTAGATGTGTGTACTGTTAGATTCTAGCATGCAGATGGTTCTAGGGATTTCTTTTTGGCCACCTCTGCAACTGAAGTGTTACTTGGTGTAGACTAGTCTTTCTCAAACTTTTTGTTCTCAGGACCCCTTTACATTTTTAAAAACTATTGTGAACTCCCAAGGCTTTTGTTTATGTGGGTTATATCTATCAATGTTTACCATATTAGAAATTAAAATGTCTTAGCATTGTTATGAAAATAGTTTTGACCTCATACACCCCTGATAGGGCTTTGGGGGTCCCCAGGAGTCCCTGGATCACACTTTGGGAACTGCTTGGTCTAGACAAAGACACTATTGGCATATATCTTCAAACTGATACAATAATTGGTAAAGAAGCCTCTTTAAACAATCATCATATATGTATGTGTGTTTTATATACACATATATATGTATATAAAATTTTTTTTTTGAGGTGATTGGGGTTAAGTGACTTGCCCAGAGTCACACAGCTAGTGAGCGTTATATGTCTGAGGCTGGATTTGAAATCAGGTCCTCCTGACTCCAGGACCGGTGCTCTATCCACTGTGCCATCTAGCTGCCTCCCATATATTTTTCAAACTGGCTTCACAAGAGGGCAGCCTCAGCAGCTGCTTCTCTACTCATTTTTTGCAGTGATGATCCTAGAAGAAACTAAGCTTTAGGGTCAGGCAGGCTCTTTACCTTTTCCCTTAGGCTTTAAAAGTAAGATAACTACATTCTTCTTTCTGTACTGACCTTACCTAGAAGTTCAACAACCCTAGAACATTTGGCTGTTCATTCTGCTGCTGTAACCAGTACTCTTCAAAGAACTGCAGTAAATAGATCGTCTCCCAACCTCTATCCAAGGCAACGGCTGTAAATCAGTTTGCTAGTTTTGGGTGGGTGGAGTGGAAGAGGCTTTGTGGACTGTCCTGAAAGCCTCATAGGTGTATTGTATTTTGACGAGTGAAGGGTGGTGATATTGATTTGCAACTTTTCTTAGATTCAAGACCTCGTATCTGACACTAAGCCATCAGGACAGAGCTACATATATAGTATCCCAGAAAGGAAAAGGAAAATATATGTCAGAGCGTGACCTCCCTTATACTTGAAGTATTTTTTTTTCAGCGATGAGTTAGCTGATTAGATATTACTACAAATTATACAGAGACAACAAACTGATTCAGGGTCAGGGCTGGAATGACACGACACCCTCATGGATCAATGCAATAAAAACAATTTTACTTAAGATTAGTAAAAGGACACATTTCATATAGTAAAGATACTAATGGATAAACCACTACTCCTTTTAGCCTCCAAATTCACTCCAGTAACTGGCCAAATAAAGTGGATTGTCCTGAGGGCCACAAGGGAGGGTTGGATTCTGACAGATGTGTTCTTATATTATTAATCTGGAACATTTGCATCCCAAATCCCATATTAGGCATGGTGCCACTGAGACAGAGCTATACACACAACTTCTTGGATAAGGAAAAGAAAACGTGTCAAAACATGACCTCATTGATATTTTTTCCACTTGAAGGATTAGATAGCATATTGTATGCAAGCATAATAACATATGACAGAATTTTGTCAATTGTAGAGCTGTTTTTTTGTAAGATAGTAAGGCCATGTGTGAGGATTTTAACTTTTCCGTTCCATGACTTTTGTGTGGTTATGTAGTCAAACCTTTTGCCAACAGTCGAGGACTTATGCATGTGTTTGGGAGATTTCTCAAGGAGTGATTTTCCTTTGCCCACTCAGACAATACCCTCTCTTACTTCTTTTTTTTCTAATTACATTTTAAAAAATCTGAAATTAACAAATACTAAATAAAATGAGTGTTTCTATATACAAAGTAGGATAGAAAAAAAGGACTGCGCATGGAAACATGAATTTCTATTATGTGCAGTTTACTTTTCCTTTTGTGGATACAGTAAATTCAACTTGTAACTTTCAAAGCTGTCTTCTGGCTTTTTTTTTCTTTTGCGTACTCTCTTCTGGCCATTTTTTGATTGCTTCAGTGACTCTCTTTTTTTCTTTTTGGGCAGCCCTATTACTAGTTACCCTTTCCTTCTTAATTCCTCTATTCCTAATTGCAAAACAAAACAAAACAAAACCAAAACCCCAAAACAAACAAAAAACCAAAACCTTTGCAACAAATATACATAGTCAAGCAAGACAAATTCCCACGTCAGCTGTGATTGAAAATGTATGTTATATTCTGCACCTTCAGTCTTTCAGGAGGTGGGCAGCATATTTCATCATCAGTACTATGGAATTATGGTTGGTCATTGCATTGATCAGAGTTCTTAAATCTTTCAAAGCTGTTTTTCTTTATAATGTTGTTATAGTACACGTTTTCCTGGTTCTCCTTACTTTACTCATACAAGTCTTCCTAGGTTTCTCTGAAACCATCTCTTTCATAATTTCTTATAGCATAATGATGATGTTGATAGCTAATCTTTACATAGCATTGTAATCTCATTTGATCCTCACAATATCTCTGTGAAGGAGGTGCTGTTATTATCTCATTTCACAGATGAGGAAAATGAGGCTGAGAGAGCCTTGGTTAAGTTACTTTCCCAGTGTCTTGTAGTTAATAAGCGTCCAAGTAAAAACTCATTCAAACTCAGGTTTTCTTGATTCCAAGTCCAGCATTCTATCTACTATGCCACTGAACTGCCTAAAATAATACTCCATTACATTCATATACCATAGTTTGTTTATCCATTCTTCAATTGATGGTGGCACCCTTGGTTTTTAGTTCTTTTCCATAAGAAAGTGCTGCCTTCAATATTTTTGTATATATAGGTTCTTTTCCTGTTTCTTTGCTCTTTTAGGGGGTATTGATAAGTAAATGGGTATACATAATTAGTGATTTTGGGAATATAGTTCCAAATTGCTTTCCAGAATTGCTGGATCACTTTACAGCTCCACCAACAGTATATTTATGGGCCTGTTTTCCCACAGCACCTAAATTAATTCTCATTTTCTTTTTTGGTCATCTTTGCAAATTCCATGAGTGTGAGGAATTGATTTAATTTGTATTTTTCTAATTATTAGTGATTTGGAACATATCTTTGTTTGGCTCTTTACAGCTTAGGTTTCTTCCTGATTTTGTTGGAAAAATGTATAACCATTACAAGTAATGTTTTAGGGTTTTGGTTTTAGAAACATACTATTTGACATATTAAGGAAAGATTCATTTATTCCTATTCTTTTTTTTTTTTAAATAACAGCAATGACTTTTTGTCAAAAGCTTTTAAAAGCATCTATTGGATATAATTGTGTTTTAAAATAATTTTTGTTATTAATGTGGTATATAAAGTTTATAGTTTTCATTATATTGAACCAATCCACTTCTAGATATGTCTACTTGGACATACCATTATCATCTCATACTTAACGTGTCCAAAGCAGAACTCCATTATCTTTTTCCTTGATCCTCTACCCTTTCTTATTTATATTATAGTCACCCAGGTTTGCAACCTTGGTATTATCCTCAACTCTTCCTTTATCTCCCCCAATCTTGGCCAAACAATTGCTGAGTTTCTTTTTTCAGTCTAACCACAGCATTTCTGGTCTGTTCCTTTTCTCTTCTTGCTGCTTTGTTCAGACTTCACTGCATTAATTCATCCAAGTCTTCTCAGGTTTTTCTAAAATTGTCCCCTTCATAAATTTTTAAAGCATACTAATGTACTATCACATTCATATATGTTCATCTTTACCCAACTGATTTATTGGTAGTCTTATTTGTATAGCACTGAATAAGTTGATTAACTTAGGTAATATTGTCATTTTTATTATATTGGCTTATTTTACCCTTGAGCATTTAATATTTTTCAACTATTTAGGTCTGTCTTCATGTGTTTTGTAGTTGTATTCTTTTAATTTCTGTGTGTATCTTGGTGGGTAGACTCTCAAGTATTTTATACTTTCTGTAGTTGTTTTGAATGGAATTTTTCTTTCTATCTCTTGTCCATATTCTTGGAAATATACAGAAATGCTGATGATTTATGTAAATTTATTTTATATTCCTCAAATTTATTGAAATTATTCATTGCTTCAGTTACTTTTAGTTGACTCTCTAAGAATTCTTTATGTATGTCATCAAATCACCTATAAAAAGTGATAATTTTGTTTGTCTTTTGTCTATGCTTATTCCCTCAATTTCTTTTTGTCTTGTTGCCATTGCTAGCACTATATTGAATAGTAGCAGTGACAATGGACATCTTTGCTTTACTCCTGGTCTTATTGGCAATAACTCTAGTTTATCACCAGGACATATAATTCTAGGTCGTGATTTTAGATAGATACTATTCACCGTCTTAATAAAAGGTCCATTTGTTTCTCTGTTTTCTAGTATTCTTTAAGTTCTTTTTTTTTTTTTTTGGCAGGGGGCAGGCAATGGGGTTAAGTGACTTGCCCAGGGTCACATAGCCAGTTAGTGTTATGTGTCTGAGGCTGGATTTGAACTCAGGTTCTCCTGAATCCAGGGCCCATGCTCTATCCACTGAGCCACCTAGCTGCCCTGTAGTCTTATTTAAAAAACAGGAATGTGTGTTGTATTTTGTCCAAAGCTCTTTCTGTGTCTAATGATATAATTATGGTTCTCTGTTATTGTTATTAATATGGTCAATTTTGAACTGCATTATCCTTTTAAGGTAATTAAATTCATGTCTAACCATGTTTATGTTTAAAGCTTATTTGGAGCAGACAGAGACTCTTGCACAAGTGAAAATCGTACATCATGTTCTTTCTTCTTCCCGAATTTGCCATATCCTAATAATTACTCCATTGAAGTGGAAGCTAAAAATGTTTTTGGTGAGCACAAGTCTAACGTCACACATTGGTACTTGGAAGACATAGGTGAGTGTCAGCCAGTAATATAAAAACTTTTATTTTAAAGTGTTTGTCTCATACTTATAGAGCAGATAGGGTCCCAGCTTAGGCATGTGATACATAGCTGCTATTGTGTATATCACAGGAAAACTGACTTGTCAATAAGAGGAAACAAAGAACCCCAACCAATGCTAAGGGATAACAGCTATGGAGAAAGAAAACCTAAAACAAAATAAACTCTATTCTCAGTGACTCCCATCTCTTCCCTCTAGTATTAATTATGCTTAAAGTAACCAAGAGCTAGAATTATTCTTTGAATATATAGAAGGGAGAAAAAGTAAAACTCTCCATTCTTTCTCATATTTCCCATTTGTCTTTTTAAATTTTTTTCTTTAAATTTATTGGTATTTTATGTTTTTACATCGCGGTCATTTCCAAATACATTCCTCCCTTCCTTCCTTCATAATGAGGCATCCTTTGTCAAAATTTAAAAAAAAATCTCATTAATTCTTGCCTTTCTCAGTCCCTTGAGAGAATTAATCTTCACTATGGCATTTTAAATGTTAGCTAACATTTTTAAATAGTGTGGAAATATGAGTGTGTCCAGTTTATATAAGTTGTATGTTTCTTAAGTTCTAACACGTCTGTGGAACAAATGATTTCATTCACACAAATGTCCATGAAATTTTTAGTTTTGCATATGTACCATGGTCTAATTTATAGTAAGAATGAAGGACAGCTTAGATTAGTGAAAATTCTGAATTATGGAATATCTTTAAGGAAGAAACTCAATTTAAAAATTTTGTTATTGAGGGCTAATTAACTGTCGCCAGCAGAGGTCTTGCTAAATCTGCCTTGGCACAAGATAAAGACTCCTTTGTCTTATTTATTTTACTTCTTTATATGCCAGTGAATTTGCTTCTTTCCATGCCAGTGAGTTATTTCAAGTTTTAAGGAAGTTTGAAAACAGTTTACTTTTATAATAATAACTTGTATTAACTTGTATTTTTATAGTATAAATTACTCAAGGAAGAACTTTCTGTCTGAGAAGAGCTGTCATAAAAACTGGAAAGCAGTTTGGCAGAAATTAGATTCAGACTATCAGCTTATGTCATGTTACTATAATAAGCTCAGGATGCTTATACAACGTTAATATTAAGTCACAACATAAGAAAATTAGTAAAAGGCCAAATCAATTACCACTTGCAGCTACAAAGAAGGAAGGGAGGTGATCCTGAAAGGCTCAAATACAGAAATTTTGTTTCATGATGTTGAAAAGCTTTTGTAGTAACAAAATCAAGGCAAATGGATGAGAGGGGAAACTGTTGTTTGACTTTACATCAAATATCTCTGATAAAGGTCTGATATTCTAGATATCTAGGGAACTAGCACAAATACATAAGACCAAGTGGACATTCTCCAAAGGATAAATGGTCATGAGATAGAAACAAACATTTCTTAAAAGACTTGCAAATTGTTAGCAACCATGTGAAAGATGGGTCTTAAACTGTGGGTTGCCACCTCATATGGGGTAATAAAAAATTTGGCAACAGTAAAACGTTTCTGAACGTGCAAAGACCCAAAATTAATTAAAAATAAAACGCCTGATGATTTTGAGGTGTTTCTAGCAGTGCTTGCCTATGTTGTATCATGCAACTTCACTACAGCCTTGGTTCTGAACGCAGAGCATGCACACTTTGCACTGCGTATGCCCTTAGGCCATGCACACCAATGGAAGCTGCCAAAATGCAAAAAGGGGTCATGAGTGGGAAAAGTTTAAGAAGCTCTGGTCTAAATAATAAGAGAAGTATAGATCAAATCAACTCCAAGATTTCATGTTATACGTATACCCAACAAATTGGCAAAGATGACAACATGATGGAAATAGTCAATGAGTCAACGGTGTAGCTACAGAAAGACAGGCATACTGATATACTTCAGTGGAGCTGTCAATTATTATAACCGTTTTGAAAAACAATTTGGAATTATGCTAAGAAAAGGATTGAAATATCAGTAATTTTTGACCCAGAGAACCCACTGCTATTAATATACCCCAGGGAGGTCAAAGAAAGAAAGGTCCAATATATACACCAAAATATTCATAGAAATATTTCTGTGGTAGCAAAGAATTTGGAAACAAAGTGAATGGCAAGCAATTAGGGAATGGCTGAACAAATTGTGATACATGCATGTAAAGGAGTGTTATTATACCTTAAAAAAAGATGAATAGGAAGAATTTGGAGAAGCATGGGAAAATTTAAATGAAGTGATGCAGTGAAGGAAGCAGAACCAAGAAAATTATATATATGTATATCTGTCTGTCTGTCTATCTATCTATATGAGAGAGAGAGAGAGAGAGAGAGAGAGAGAGAGAGAGAGAGAGAGAGAGAGAGAGAGAGAGAGAGAGAGAGGGAGGGAGGGAGACAGAGAGGGAGGGAGGGAGGAAGGGAGAGAGAGGAGAGAGAAAGAGAGAGATAGGGACAGAGGGAGAGGGAGAGAGGGAGGGAGAGAGAGAGGGAGAGAGAGAGAGAGAGAGAGAGGGAGGGAGAGGGAGGAAGAGAGAGAGGAAGGGAGGGAGGGAGAGAGAGAGAGAGAGAATGAGAATCTAAAACTTAAACTCTGTATATAATGGTCAAACTTGTGCCTGAAGGTGAGATAAGAAAATGCATCTCCCTTCATTCTTTGCAGCAGTGGGGGACTGTGGGTGTAGACTATTTCATAGATTGTCAGACTCAGTTAATATTTTGCATTGACCAAGTTACTACCCTCTCAGGTTTCTGACAAGGCTTCCCATACGTCTGATGTCAGAAAGGATGTAATTGATGACCTTTCTTTGTTTCACAATGTAATCCTCCTCCTCTCTGAGAGGGGTTGGTGTCCTCCTCTCTAGAAGCCATAGAGTTAGAGTTGGAAGACACTTAAGAGGTCATCAAGGCCATCTCTACCAGATCATGAATCCTCATGACAATAGTCCTCAGTATGACTGAAAGGAACCTGTAGTTAGATTGGCCTTCAAGGCATTTTTACTTTAGGAGCTGGTAATAATATGCTCCTTCTGGCAGGATTATTATAATTATCAAGGAATTTGTTATTATAATGTAGATTGAGAGGCTTAAATCACCTCCCTGGAAGTATAATCTATCTCCAGAAATGGAGATGAAGTTGGAGGGGGATTAGGGAAATGGCCCATCATTGAGTTGCTGGAGTTTTGCCTCCTCTTTTCCCTCTTACACAGGATATAGGCTCTCCCATCATTTAGAGTAGAAGGGGCTGCTCCATGGGAAAGTGGGCATTGAATTGAATATATACTGATAGTGGGCTTAAAATCCCTAAGATGTAAGTCAATTTTTAGAGTTAATATTTTTGAATTTGAATTACATTATCTTTGACTGTGTCTTTTTATCCTTTTGTACATATGACTTTTTTTTTTTTTTTTGGTTTCTGTTCTTATTTTCAGTGAAAATAGAGCCACCTACCATTCTAACTGTGGAACCAATCCCAGGTGTTAAACATATGCTTCAAGTAGCATGGAGAAAACCTGAGGGGGTACCTTTTTCAGATTCATATATATGCCACCTGAGATATAGGAGAGTGAATAGTACTAAGTGGGTAAGTTATATTATATGAAACTCCTTTTCAGAGTGGTCAAGAGAAAGGCAGCTTGGATAAAAGCAAGTGATGTCTACAGTGGGAACTTTCTGACTGTTTACATTGAAAGTAGCTGGCAGACAGTGGCAAATTCCCCCCTCCCCCCACCCTATTTTTTCCATTTTGACTTTTTTTCCAATGGGAAAATATGCTGTTGTGGCCTTTTGTGAAATGAGCCCAGGAGCTCCTGTGTAAGTCAGTACAGGGATTCTTAGTTTAGTAACAACATTTGATTCTGGAAAGACACAGTGTCAGGCTAAAAAGTGATGAAGGCAGTTATAGGCATAAGAATAATGTAGGTCAATAACAAACAGTAGCAGTCAATAATCATTGCAAAGTGCTTACACTTACCATGTACCAGATGCTGGGCTAAGTGCTAGGGATACAAAGAAAGGTAAAATCATAGTCCCTGTCCTTTGAGGACCTTAAATGCAAACGGAGGAGACAACGCACAAATAATCATACGTGCAACCATGTATATAATCATATACCATGTATCACCTTAACCATGTATACAGTGCAATTAGAAGGGATTGTCAGAGGGGAAGCCACCAATGATAGAAGGGTTGGATGGAGGGACAGGTGTAGGTAAGGCTTCTTGCAGAAGGTGAGATTTAAGTTGATTCTTAAAGGAAATTGGGGAGGGCTAGGAAAGAGAGATGTGGAGGGGGAGAACATTCTAGGCTTGAGAAACATCTAGTTTGGAGATGGATTATTGTGCTTGAAGAGTAGCAAGAAGGTCACTGTCCCTAGATCATACAGAAACAGACTAAAATTTTAAAAAACCCACGAAAATAATAAAGTAAATGAAAAAAGTATGCTTCGATCTGCATTCAGAGTCCATCAGTTCTTTATCTGGATGTGGATATCTGGATATTTTTCCAAAATGAATCCTTTGCTATTGTCTTGGATCATTGTATTGTTGAAAAGAGCTAAGTCTTTCATAGTTTATCACACAATGTTGCTGTTACTGTGTACTGTGTACTGTGTACTGTGTGTTTTCCTGGTTCTGCTCACTTCACTCAGCATCAGATCAGGTCTTTCCAGATTTTTCTGAAATCTACTTGCTCATCATCTCTTATTGCACAATAGAATTCCATTACATTCATATACCACAACTTGTTCAGCCATTCCCCAATTGATGGAATGCCACCTACCTCTTGCCAGAGTGATGATAGACTTATAATACAGAATGAGACAAACATTTTTTGATGTGCTCAATCTGGGAACTTGTTTCAACTAGTTATACATATTTATTATGAGGTTTTTTCCTTTTAATTGTTTGTTTCAGGAGAGAGTGGGAAGGGGAAAAATAAATGCTTGGTAATGGGAAAAACTAATACAATTAAATTTTTTAAAAGAAAAGTCAAAAACAAGAAAGTCAAGATTGTTAGCTCTGGCGTTAGTCTAGGCAGGAGGAGTTCTAATAGTCAAGAGGAAATTATCTTTGGCAGTTGAGAAGAGTTACTTCATCAGGAGGAGCAGTATGTTCTCTTCTCTTCTCTTCTCTTCTCTTCTCTTCTCTTCTCTTCTCTTCTCTTCTCTTCTCTTC